TGCCGAATAGTAGTTGAAAATATGGCGATTCTTCAGGAACCACCATCGGAAGGAAGAGACCCAGCGAACAGTTATTCATTCCACTCCACCTTGCTTGTGCGACTGCTGCTGCTGTAGTTGCGACTGCGATGAACGGGGACGACGATGAGGAGTACTCTGTGGTTGTCCCACGGGACCTCCCCGTACCGCAGAAGGGGGACAACCTCCACGCCTTTGGCACGGTCTGCGCCCTGAAATAGTAAGCGCATGGTCACGCACATCGTCTTGTTTCGTCTGCCTTTTGTGTCTGTCACATCACGTGCGCCTTGTTAAGTGCATGACACCCCCCCCCCCGTGGTTCCGCCTGCCTCTGATCTATCTCACTCGTGTGACCCCTTGCTTGTGTTGCCTTCCTCCACATTCACAGCAACAAGATGATCCGCGTCGTCAGCCTCGTCGACTTTGACGGCCGCAATGACGTGTGGCTGGAAAGCAACCGCCTCTCATGGTACACACAGCTGCTGGCAGCTGTTGGTGTTATTGCCGTGGCTGCTTTTCCGTGCCTTGTTGCTGTCGAAGCTGCTGCAGTTGCTGCTGCCGCTTCGTTCCACTCTTTTCATGTGTCTCTGTGTGGAGTCCTAGCTGTTTATCTTCGCTGTCGTCTCAGCAGTTCATGCACAACCTGCACACGCTTGCATCGTGACACCATGAAGGGAGGGCAAGACGCTCATGTGCTATTTGGGGCCCACGAAGCTGGCAACCGTGACCACCTCTTCCAAAGTTGCCATCTGGAGCCTGGCTGCCAGCAGGCTCAGCGCCGTCATCTCCGCCCACACATCACATGACGTCACCGTCAGGTCTGTGTGTGTGTGTGTGTGTGTGTGTGTGTCTGCGTGCGTGTGTGTGTGTCTGTGTGTGTCTGTGTGTGTGTGTCTGTGTGTGTGTCTGTGTGTGTGTGTGTGTCTCTGCGTGCGGGTGTGTGTGTGTGTGTGTGTGTGTGTGCACGTGTAAATTTCCGCTGCTATTAACTCTGGTGCTATCAGCGACGGTTTCACTCACCTGCCCGCTTCGCGTGGGCTGTCCACACCCGCCGCGCCATCGTCTCTTCATTGCCCCCCCCCACTCACAACCCCCCAACACACACACGCACACACACACACACACACACATGCACACACATCAGTGCGTTGGAGTGGTCGGCGCCAACGCAAGAGCTGGCGCTGTGCACGTCCAACAAGCGAGCAACGCTCATTGATCCACGTGCAGGCAAACCCACGTCCAGTTTCAAGCTCGACTCCGTGCCCACACAATTCAAGTTCAACTCGCTTTCGCAGTACCAGTTTGCAATTGGCATGGCCAACGGGATGGTGCTGGTGGCCGACCGTCGGCAGACCAAGCCCTCGCTCTTCGAATGCCTCGGCCAAATCAGATCCATCGTGAGGCTTTGGCGTGAAGATGAGAGAGTGGGCAAGAGGGGGTGGTGGTGGGGTGGCCGTCGGTGGAGGAGGGCATTTGGTTGGTTGAGGAGTTTGGCCTGTTTGATGTGCTTGCATGTGCGAGTCAGCGGTTTTGCTGTGTCACCTCACAGAGCAAGCGCCACGTGCGCATTGCATTTTGTTCCACCCGTTACCACCACGGCAACCATTTTTTGTTTTGTTTTGTCAGGACTGGTCACCCGTGCAGGCCAACTACTTTGTCGCTGGATCACGCTCACACGGATACAATGTATGCATACATGAACATTGAACTGCAAGCCAGCCTTGCGTGCAATTGCATGCCAAGTTCCTTTTCCATGCACACAGTCACATCATTATCATCACCTGGACTCTCGCTTCTCCAACGACAATTCCCAACCGAAAATCACACGCACACACACACATACACACGCACACACACACACACATGCACACACATGCACACACATACACACATACACGATAGGTTTCCTTCTGGTCGACAGAGCACTGGTTGCAGAAGCACCACCAGCCCAACGGCCACTGCTCAGACCTGGGTGCATTTCGTCGTGTCGTGTACACCCCATGTGGACAGGGCATCTTCACAGAGGTTGCACGCGCCGCTTCAAAGGTGGGGCAGGGAAGCAAAGAGTGTCGAGATGCGTGCGTGTGCACGTGCGTGTGTGTATGCCTGTGTGTGAAATAGTTGCACCATCCCCTCGGTACACTCACAGTTCTTCCACGCACACACACACACGCACACACACACATGCACACACATACACACAACCACACACAATATCTTCCACCTCCGCCACAACCACAACCACCGTTGCCACCACACCTGCAACCGCAACAATTTGCAGCACGAGTCGCCGCAACTTGTGCTGCGTATGCGCGGTCTGACGCCGACCAACTCGGCGCAGCTCTTCAAGAGCTCCCCCGTCGTCACCTCCCCGCTCTGGTCCCTCAAGGGGCAGACAAGTACGGCGATGGCAGCACCGTGGGAATGTTTATGTGTGTGTGTGTGCGTGTGTGTGTGTGTGTGTGTGTGCGTGTGTGTGTGTGTGTGTGTGTGTGTGTGTGTGTGCGTGTGTGTGTGTGTGTGTGTGTGTGTCGTGTGTGTGTGTGTGTGTGTGTGTGTGTGTGTGTGTGTGTGTGTGTGTGTGTGTGTGTGTGTGTGTGTGTGTGATGCGAGCAATGAGTCTTCCCTCACCTCATCTCATCATGCATGAATCATTCTCTATCATCACGATTACACCAACCAATCTCCACCAACCACCACTCACCACCAGGCTTTACGTTCACGTCGATGGTTCCGCCAACGGAACACGACGCCAGCGCGCACGCCGCAAAGAAGTTTGTGGCCACGCGCTGCAGCTCAGGTGCGGTGGTGGTGGTGGCGGTGGTGGTGTTGGTGGTGGTGGTGGTGTTGGTGGTGGTGGTGGTGATGGTCATGATGACAGTGGTGGTGACTTGCTGCCGTGCATGCTGGTGTGAAACCGGGCGGTGTTGCTCCCGACTGCTGTTGACATCACCTCAGTTGCTATTTTCCGTTGCTCGCATCCTCATTCTTCACCCGCCCTGCCCCCCTGTTCCTCCAATGCATCCACAACCGTTGCCTTTGCGTGCTGCTTCTTGCAATTGCTTCACTTCAGGCATCCACGTTGTTTCAATCCCCAAAATCTCCACGCAACAGGTACGCACTTGCTGCCATGATTATGTGTGTGTATGTGTATGCGTATGAACTGCAACCGCACCGACGCACAGCTTCTGCACAGCTGCTGCTGCACCCGATCTTATCCACCATACTCACCATGACTTGCGACGCCATCCCCTGCACTGCAAACAATCACAATCACAACCACAACCACAACCACAACCACAACCACAACCACAACCACAACCACAACCACAACCACAACCACAACCACAACCACAACCACAACAAAACAGCTGCTTGAGAAGTGCGAGATTGTCGTTGGCGGTGGTGGTGGTGGTGCGACCACAGACGACAAAGGCGGTGACCGTCACCATCGTGCTGCTGCTCGCCACGGTGACGGTGGTGAAGACGAGGGTGAAGACGAGGGTGAAGACGGTGAAGACCAGGTCCAATGCTCCAACATCCTCATCGACAGGGTGAGGCACGAGAAGCGCTTGTCTGTGTGTGTGTGTGTATGTGTGCCTGCGCGCGCATAAGTGTGTGTGTGTATTTTGTGCCCTTTCAGACCCGATGTGCTCTGTTGCATCATGCTCCGTTGTGCACGCGTCCACCATCACCAAGCCACCACCAACACTGCCGTCACTGCCGCCCATTTCAACTCACGCTCCATGCGCGCTCTGTTTTCATTGCTGCTGCTGACAGCAACTGTCGCAGCTGAGATCCGATCACCCGAGCAACACGTTCATGTGGGACGCAAAGACACGAACGTGAGCATGCGCAAACGTGTGCGTGCATGATACGTGTTCAGTGTGACTGTGCTGTCGAAGCACACTCGCACCAAAGCCGTGGCGACTCGCGACGCTTTTCACCACGCACCTGCACAAATGCTGGCATCCACATGCTAACTCACCTACAAGCGCACACACGCATGTATTCACACGTACTCACACGCATGTATTCACACGTACTTGCACACGCATGTATTTACACGTACTTGCACACGCATGTACATTCACGTCACATGCTGGAACAGCTGCACCGGCATCTTGCGCGTAAGCGACTACGATGCCGAAGACGACGACGACGAAGGCAACGATGCCAACGGCGGTGATGTTGGCAGCAGCAGCGGCGGTGGTGGTGGTGGTGGGCGTCGGCGCGGTGGCGGTGATGATGATGATGGTGCCGGGATGAAGCTGTTTCAGTCGCCAACAGCGCGCAGCAGCCGGTCGTCGAGCCGGGCGGGTGTGTCGACGGCCACGGCGGCCAGGCTGAGGCGCCTCAACCGCAAGATGATGCGGGAACAGGAGCGGGAGCGCGGCCGTGAGAGGCGGCGTGCAGAGGCGAAGGAGAGGGCAGAGAGGACAGAGACCGATGCAGCGCCACGCTACATCACCGTCCATCTTGCCATTCCGCACAACTACCCCGTCGAGCGCCCGGCCATTCGAGTCAGTGGGTGATGGGTGGTGAATGGTGAATGATGTGTTGGTGATCGTTGTCATGGTATGGACAACATTTCGTCCTGCTGCGCTGACCATGGTGTCGTGTGTGTGTGTGTGTGTGTCTGTGTGTCTGTGTGTCTGTGTGTCTGTGTGCGTGTGTGTGTCTGTGTGTCTGTGTGTCTGTGTGTCTGTGTGTCTGTGCGTGTGTGTTTGCTGATTCCAGATTGAGGAGGTTCCGCTGCGCTATCGCAGTGTTCAACAGCGAATCATCGAGGTGCGTCGTCCGCACCCGCATATGGATCGAGTGCACTTGAATGTTTGTACATGCACAAACGCAAACATGCAAGAGCAAGCAAGTGAGCGATCATGCAAACGCCAACACACACACACACAAGCACTCACACACTTACCTTCCCTTATCACACACACACATACACACACACGCACACACACACTCTCTCTTTCGCTGTGCATGCGACGTGTCAGCGCCTGGATGACGAGAAGAAAGAGGACTTGGCGGCCCTGTCCGGCTGCTTCAACATCGCCGTGCGCATATACAAGGTTCGATACCGACACCTGCGACTACGATCAATGTTTCGTGCCGTTGTGCAGGCACGCGCGCACACACACATACATACGCTCAAGCGCTTTACTCGTTCACATGTGCACATGCAATGTCGTCCACACGCACGCACACACACACTCACTCACATCAGTACATTCACTAACATACACACACACACACACACATACACACACACGTGTGCGTACGCGCGTGGACAGGAGGTGAAGGCGCACCTTGACAGCAAAGTGGCGAATGTGCCAATGCGGCGCTGCGGTGCAGTCTTTGACGCGCGTGGTCGACTTGCCGTCTTCCACAGCCACGTACGTCACCACCACCTCCCATCGTGCTGGTGCTGGTTTTTTTTTTCCCGGCTGCCATGCCCGTGCCTGTTTGGACACTGGACATGTGAATGAGAGTGCTCTGTGCTTCTCGTCACCCGAATGCCCACCTTCTTCATCCGTCTGTCCATCCCCTTTGCACTCCACCACCAACAACCACCACCACCACCAACCACCAACCACCACCACCACCGCCACCACGGCACCACCACATGGCAGCGGGTGCGTCTGCTTGATGCACGCCCGACGTGCAATCTTCACGTGGAATTTGGCCTCAACTACACGTCTCCGCCCGGCTCCTTCCACTCCGCATGCATTGCAAACAAGCGCAGAGCCAGGTGTGTTTGTGTGTGTGTGTGTGTGTGTGTGTGTGTGTGTGTGTGTGTGTGTGTGTGTTTGTGTGTGTGTGTGTGTGTGTGTGTGTGTGTGTGTGTGTGTGTGTGTGTGTGTGCGTGTGTGTGTGTGTGCGTGCATGTGTTGGGATGAGTGGGTGAATGAAAGATATTGCACATATCTGTGCATTTGTGCAAGTTTGTTAGCATGAGACTCCTCTCACCGCCTGCTGTACCGCCCTGCGCCACGTCTGCCTAATTTCCCATCTTCTGGCTGAGCAGGTACATTGGGCGGCCGGATTTGGTGCGCACGTGGGACATCATGTACAGCGCCGTGCACCCCATGATGCTGGCCTGCATTGGTGAGTACTGCTGACGCACCTGCGCCCACTCCCTCATGACCTACATAGCACATCCACACACCTATACGCATTTACACATTTATACACATTTACACACGCACACACAGAGCACGATGCAGCGCACGAAGCATACATACAACCCAACAATCACACCACCACCTCCTCCTCCACCACCACCACCCTCACCCTCACCTCCCCACTGCCCGCGCCTGCAGCGAACATGCCACAGCGCGCCGAGCGACTGCGCAGCGCCCAGTCTGCACACGTGTACCGGTACAAGCGGTTACAGCAGCAGGTGGCGGAGGAGGCGAAGAGGAGGGAACAGCAGAGAAGAAGTAAGCGCTTGAAGAAGAAGAAGAAGAAGAAGCAGAAAAAACGACAGCAGCAGCAGCAAGCGAGGGAGGAGAAAGAGCAGCAGATGAAGCAGGAAGCAGAACAGAACGAAACACAAACACAAGACCGCCGCCGATCAAGTGGTGGTGGCGGTGGTGGTGACAGCGTGTGGCAGGAAGGACGCAAGCTGTTTGGGCTGTTTCTGAACCGACAGGAGGGCGGTGGTCGCTCGCCCACCGCCACCAGCGGTGATCGGGGCGATGTGCGCGGTGTGGGTGGTCGTCGTGGTGGTGCAGGGCGCGCACAAGCGTCCCCGCCGCCACCACCCAACACACGTCAGCGCACCACATCGGGTGATCGGACCGGGCATCCGGCGGCGAGACGCTCGCCATCATTTGCATCCAGCCGCGGGCCATCAGCAGCTGGTAGAGGCGGCGCGTTTGGTGTCAGCGCATCATCGTCGGCGCCTGTGCTCACGACAGGGCGCTCGGCTTCTGCTGGGCGCAGAGGTGCAGCCACGCCCACACACGCAAGCGCACACGCACAGGCGCAAATAACGTCGAGGCTGCAGCACAAGACCTACAGCACCAGTGGTGGTCGCGGTGGTGGTGGTGGCGGTGACAATGATGATGACAGCAGTGCTCATGGCGGTGACAATGATGATGACAGCAGTGCTCATGGCGGTGATTATGATGATGGCGCGTACGGAGGTGGTGGCGTGGTGGCTGGCGACTCGATTGTGAACGTGCTGCAGAACGTGTCAGCGCATGCGCTTGATGATGGCCGGCTCCGGTTTGGGTGTGTGCGCCGCGGACTCCCCTTGCACGGCCCGACCCTGACCCGCCACACCATGTGCGGGCGTGTCGTTGCCTCGCTCATCAAGCACTACCTCGGCCTTCGCGACATTCAGACTGTGGTGCGTTTGGTCTGTGTGCCATGACACTTGTTGTTGTTGTTGTTGTTGTTGTTGTTGTTGTTGTTGTTGTTGTTGTTGTTGTTGTTGTTGTTGTTGTTGTTGGTGGTGGTCGTGGTGGTGTTGTTGTTGTTGTTGTTGTTGTTGTTGTTGATGCTGCTACCATTGTTATTGTTGTTGTTGTTGGTGGTGGTTTTAGTGGTGGACAGCGTCATTGTCACTTTTCTTTGCTCGCTTTGGTTACGACAAGGCACCATTTAACCATCGATACACACACGCGCACTTGTGCCCGATTCATGCTCTGTCCGTCTTAGGCCGCGCTGTGCTCCATGTGCGCCGCCTACCACACAGACATCTTTCCGCTCGGCAAAGTGAGGCGCACTGCTCGCTCGCAACAAAACATGCGGCCAAGCAGCAACACAATCATGTGTGGTTGAATGTGCGTGAGAGAGAGAGTACACGTATCACCGTGATGACCATTTCACCTTCTCACGATACGTTGTCTTCCTACCACCACTTACACCCTCAAACACACACGCACACACACACACACACACACACACACACACACACACACACACACACACACACACACACACACAAACACACACACAAACACACACACAAACACACACACCTTCCCCCTCCTCGCCTGCGTCACCGATAGTTTTTATTGCCGCAGCGCGAGTGCGAGCGCGCGTTTGTGGCGATGGTCGTGTACGCGGAGTTTCTTCGGCGCCACGGACACGAGGCAAAGGCAATCGAGGTGTGTATCTTCTCGAACGGTGGCATGTGTGTGTGTGTTATGTGTGTAGTTGTGCATGTCAAAGGCTTTGTCTGTGCGCATGTGCGCGTGCATCGTGCTTGCTTGTCGTAGTGACCACGCTCCACACGTGCCATCATCTCACCCCTGTGCACTCCCGCCATGCGTGTGGCAGCTGAAGACGGCTGTACGGCTCTTGCTCACACTCAACGTTTCAGCACACGGCATCCTCCACGTACGCAACACTGTGCACACACACATACATGCACGCACACCTCTACACCCCACGCACACACACGCACACACACACACGCACACACACACAGACACACACACACACACACACGCACACATATTCATGGCTTGTGCATGTACATGCTCATGCAAACAACAAATCGTCTGTCCTGTCTTAGCATCGTGTCACGATCCACCACGCTCATTCACACCCGTGCTCATCGCAAACTCCCCCCCCCCCAATAACCCACCACCCGCTAACTGCAGGAGTGGGAAGTGGATGCAAGTCTGCTGCCCACCTCAACGCTCAAGCCGCGTGGCAACCGCGAGCAGCCGTGTGTTGGGCACGGGCACGTGACGCTGCACGCCGACGGAGACGTGCTGTCTGAAGTGGAGGAGGAAGAGGAGGAGCTGATGAGTCGACAGCTCACGGAAGGGCCCGGCGATGACATTGCGCTCGGCCGCTTCATCTGCACCATCTGCAGGTGTGTTGCGTTGTGTGCGTGTTGTTCGTGTGCGCGCGTTGTGTGTGTGTGTGTGTGTGTGTGTTGTACGTGTTGTGCGTGTTGTGAGTGTGTGTGTTGTGTGTGTGTGTGTGTGTGACAGTAAGAAATGGTCCCGATGTTTACCTTGTGCCGCCCCTGTGTATAAATCCTCACACACACATACATACATACGACACACACACACGCACACACACGCACACACACACACACACACACACACACACACACACACACACACACACACACACAATCACGCACACACAAATCACACTGTCCAGGTTGCCGTGCCAGCGGTCGCTGCTCGTGTGTCCGGACTGCGGGCACGGCGGGCACGATGAGCACGCCCGCGTGTGGCTGGAGCGACGCGGGGTGTGCGCCGCCCCCGGCTGTCGGTGCATGTGTCTGACGGGCGGATACGCAGAGAGTGAGGAGGAGACGGATGAGGATGAGACGGAGGAGGAGGAAGAAGAGAAAGCAGATGATGATGATGATGAGGAGGAGGAGGAGGAGGAAGAGAAAGCAGATGAGGAGGAGGAGGAGGAGGAGGAGGAGGAGGAGGAGGAGGAGGAGGAGGAGGAGGAGGAGGAGGAGGAGGAGGAGGAAGCAAAGGGGGAAGAAGAGAGAGAGCAAGAACCCCTGGAAGAAGAAGAGGAAGAAGTGAACGAGCAAGAAGAGGAGGGAGAACAACCGAACACACAAGTGGCCCAGCACGAGGCGAACGAAGAAGATGAGGGTGAGGAAGAACTTGGCGAAGGCGACGGCGTTGAAGAATCGAAAGAAGATGAAGATGGAGACATGAAAGAGGAGGAGCTGGAGGAGGAGGAGACAGACGAAAGTGAGGTACATGGAACTGTGGCTGAGCCAACGCAAGACGAGACAGGTAAAGGACAGAGACAGGACAGAGCGCCGTCCGATGACCTGCACACAGCCGTCGCACACACGGAAGAAGAAGAAGAAGAAGAAGAACAACAACAACAACAACAACAACAACAACAACAACAACAACAACAACAACAACAACAACAACAACTGCAGGAGGCGACTGCAGCTGACATGCCTGGACAAGGGGGCAACACAGCGGCGCAACGGGAAGATGAAACCAAACCAAGAGGCAGCCAGGATGTGTCGTGACGATCATGGTACACAACAGTTGCGACGGTTGTGGTGAAGGACAGTTGCAACATGCTGTGCTTCATCTATGTCATGTAGTTGTTGTAATGATGTTTGACGGCGTTGAGTGCGCAAGCGGTTCAAACAGCTGTACTGTAAACCATGAAGAGAACCAAACCCACAACAGGCAGTCAAGCAAGTACGCGCATACACATATTTGACTCATTAAGCAAGCATTCACACATCATCACGTTACATTGCATTCAGCAGCACACACGAGCACGTGGAAACACACGACACAAACACAAGCAAGCAAGGCACACAAGCGAAGCGAACACATAAGACGAAGCAGCCACGTCCCACACAGCAGTCAGCTCACGTTCACACTCACAAATCACAAACACACCCACACTCACAAATCACAGTCACAACAGCCACAATCACAAAAGTCACAGACACAAATCACAATTGATCACAATCATGTCACAACAGTCACAATCACAAATCACATGTTCACGTCAGCGCTCGTCAATGACATCTGGCACGGCCGTGTACGCGTAACCGGTGTCCTTGGCTCGCCCAAACTTGCAGTAGACGGCAACAACAGCAACCATGAACACAGTGCCGAGGAGCGCAGCCACAACAACGCCCACCGTTGTGTTCTTCGTGCTTTCGTTGTGGTAGCGGACGGCCACAACTTGTGCGTGCGCGCGGTGGAGATGCAGGAAACTCAGGTTCACGGTGCTGTTGACAACGGACGAGTTGAACGTGTCAATGTGCGCGACGCTGCGTTGGATGACATCAAATGGTGGGATAACCTGCACGCGCACTGGGTGGTCTGCAAGGTTGGCAACCACAACATAGGCCGTGTTGGACTCGTTGTACCGCAGAAACGCGAACACGTTGTCGGTGAGGTGTGCGGGCGTGACCACCACGTCGAGTGACTGGTACAGCCCGCTGTGGAGGGCGTGCTCGCGCGTGCGGAGGGCAATGACGCGCGACACAAGATCTAGCATCGACGTTGGGTCGCCCATCTGCGCAGCAGCGTTGGTGTGCACGTAGTCCGACGACACGGGCAGCCACGTCTCAACGCCGGCCCCGCTAAACCCAGCGTTGGCGTTTGACGTGTCCCACTGCAGCGGCGTGCGCTCTGGATCGCGGCAGCGCAGGCCGGTGTAGTTGGTCTTGCAGTTGGGGTCCTGCCGGCGCCCGGGGGGAACGTAGCCGTCCTTCTGCCCAAACTCGTCCCCGTTGTACATGGTGGGCGTGCCGCGCAGGGTGAAGAGCAACGTGTTGGCCACGCGCGTGAGGGCGGTGTCGTTGAGACGCGAGGCCAGGCGCCGCACATCGTGGTTGCCGAGCACAAAGTTTGGCTGTGCCCACGCGGGGAGCGAGGCGTTATAGTGGTCCACAATCTCACGCAGGCGGGAGGCATTGCGCGGGTTGTTGTGCACGGTGGGATCAAACGCAGCGGCGTAGTCGAAGAAGGAGATGAGGTTCATGTTGAACGGCATGCTGAACTCGGGCTCCTCCTCCGTTCCGTAAAACGAGATAACATCCTCCTCCGTGATGACGTTGTCCGGGTAGATTTCACCAATGAGCGCCTTGTCGTCGCCAAACTCCTGCACCACTTTGCGCATGCCGCGCACAATGTCATGCAGACCGGGCTGGTTCTCCGTGTAGATGTGGATGAGCTTCTCGTAGCCCTGCGTGACGGGGTCGCCGTGCCAGTTGGGGTTGAGCGGCTCGTCCCGGAACTGCGGGTCCTCGAGGATGTTTGGAAAGGCGTCCACACGGAAGCCGTCCACGCCCTTGCGCAGCCAGAAGCGGAGCACGTCGTGCATGGCCGACACCACGTCGGGGTTGGTCCAGTTGAGGTCGGGCTGCTGCGTGAGGAAGCAGTGGTAGTACCACTCGTCCGTGGCGTTGTCGTAGGTCCAGCCGTAGCAGTTGGCATCCGGGCAGAAGATGGTGCGCCAGTTGTTTGGCGGGAGCTTCTCGCTGTCCTTGCCGATGCGGCCCTGTCGCCACACGTACCAGTCGCGATAAGGGTTGGTCTTGTTGCTGCGGGAGGCCAGGAACCAGGGGTGCTGGTTGGAGGTGTGGTTGGGCACAAAGTCCATGAGGACGTGGATGCCCAGCTTCTTTGCTGCAGCAATGAGGTTGTCAAAGTCCTCCATCGTGCCAAACGTCGGCCAGATGGCCGTGTAGTTGCTGATGTCGTAGCCAAAGTCTGCCATGGGTGACTCGTAGATTGGGGAGATCCAGATGGCGTTCACACCCACGGTGTCGCGCAGGTACTGCAGCTTGCGCTCGATGCCGCGCAGCGAGCCCGTCCCCGTGCAGTTTGGGCTGCATGCGTCCAGGAAGGACCGCGGATAGATTTGGTACACGATGCCCGTCTGCCACCATTGGCCATCAGCGGGGCTGGCTGCGGCGGTCGGGGACGCGGCGCACACAGCGGCAAGCACCACCACTGCCGTGGCGACAATCGCAGCAGTCGCTGCCGTCACCTTCATCTCCGAGTCGCACGTTGCGTGAGGGTGTACGCTGATGACACGCGCCTTCGTTGTTCCTGCAAGTGTCTGGTGTTGTTGTGTTTTTCACATATCACAATCAAACATGCCATGTGGAATTGGGAATGAGTCGTTTGATGCTGAGGGCTGTGTGGCTACGTACTGCATGGAGCAGCAGCAAACTCTCAAAACTGTCCCTGTGATATTGGTGACCGCAGCATCGACGGGACACAGGTCATGCCGTCATCATCTATCTCAACCCTTTCACGCGTCACGTCAGCACAGACAACACACCAGCACGCAGCACAGCAGCACAACAACAAGCGCTCTCTCTTCTGCCTCTTGTTGGCACCTGGTGGCACGAAATGCACCAAGTCTGAATTCAGTCGCTGGCTGGAAATTCATGTGAAGACTTTCGCAAATCGCCAACAAGCGACGAAATTTGACGCTGCAGCCGAAACGAACCGTCGCCAACTCCACGCACCACAACAGCCCACAACACCACTGCTGCGCTTTGGTGCATTGCCTCGTTGTTTGCTTGCTAGCCAAACACATCGCACCAGCAGCACCACCACCACCACCACAAGCATGGCAGACTTGAGCATGAGCAGCGACGTGGCAGGGGGAAGCGGTCGCAGTGGGCCCGGCAGTGCTCGCCGCGCAGGCACCAACACGAGCACAAGCATTCAGACGTTGTTGTGCAAGGTTCAGCGAAATCTAAGTCGCATCTCGGTACGTCATCTTCTTCAGTGCTGGGGGTGGTTTGTTTGGGCTGGCTGCCTGTTGCGGTGATTTTGGCTTTTGAGGGACCCTGACGCACACGGCCACGCTGATGCTTCGCTTGTGTGCTTCACCCCTGCCAGACCTTGCAGGATGGCCATTCACAACGAGATACGTCCAGCATCGCCAAGATGCGGCAGCTCGCGTCGCAGCCGCGGCCAGCTGGCACTGCAGGGCTCGCAGAAGCACGGAGGACAGCGCAATCATCCACAGCGACAAGTGGCAGCTCGTATATTGTGCCATCGGCACTGCACAGTGCCAGAAGCGCCGCCGCCGTGCCCACTACGGCTTCTTCGCTCGTGGATCGCCTCGTCAAAACTGAACAGGTGGGAGTGTGCTGTGCTGTGGTGGTGTGTGTGTGTGTGTTTGTGTGTGTGTGTGTGTGTTTGTGTGTGTGTTTGGAGGCATGTTATGTGTGCAGTTACGTGAAGTGACAGCTGGGTGTGGTGTTTCGATGGAAGTTGCACTGCCAATGTTTCTTCGGACACTGACAGACCTGTGAATTTACTCCCTGCATCTCCCAAAGGCGCTGGACCAAGTTGTGGGCATGTTCAAAGAATTTCAACAGCAATCCGTCAAGGACAAGGAAGCCCTTGAAGGTACTGCGTATGTGTGTGTATGCATGTGTGTGTATGTATGTGTGTGTATGAATGTGTGTGTGTGTGTCTGCGTGTGTCCACTTGAGAAGCACACATGTGCATGGATGAAGGAATGCACTTGTGTGCGTGTGTGCGTGCGTGCATGTGTGTGTGTGTGTGTGTGCGCGCGCTTGTGTGTGTGCCCGTTGTGTGGGAACAAATTGTGGCAGCTGCAGTGCCACTGAGCGTCTGCGGGTGTTCTCACGCATCATTCCAATGCTGCTGCGATGCCAGACCGAATCGACCATCTCGAGCAGCGTTTGAAGCAGCGCGGCGTGGATCTCCAGACGGAACGCAAACTGGAACAGGTGCCAACATGATATGCGCGGTTTCCTTATTTGTTCATGTGAACGCGCGCTTTGTCGGGTGTGCTGGTGGTGCTGCTGTTAGTGGTGGTGGTGGTACGTGTGCGTGTGCATGCGTGCGTGCGTGTATGTGTGTATGTGTGTGTGCGTTTGTGTGTGTGTGCAAGTGTTGCTCTCAATGCCGTTGCTGTCACATGGATGCATATGCACTCACGCGCATACCACACTCATACATACGCTCTTTATTACACTCACACGATGCACGTGTTTCCGAACTGCAGATGGACCGGGCGATCATGTCACGATTACAAGCGCTTGAGAGCCGCCATCGACAGGAACACATGCACGCGCTGGACAGCGAGACGGATGCACGCACACTCTCCAAGCTCTCCTCCGAAGTGCGCGCCATTGGTCAGGTCGGTCGGTTGGTTGGATTGATGGCTTGGTTGGTTGGATTGATGGGCGCATGGACGGGAATTGCTCATGTTGATGCGTTGATGGTGCCTCTCAACTTCTCTTGAACAGGCGAGCCTAGGCACACATAGACACACACACGCACGCACGCAACGCACGCACACATCGACACACACACACACAACACACACACACACACACACCTCCACATGGTTCACATCGCCCACCCCGCACATGTGCCGTTTTAACAACCCCCCCCCCCCTTCTTTATATCACTGTGCATTTCTCACTGTCCAATCGCAGAGCTGCCAGCGTGACGTGGATCACATTACGCAAGAGTTTGCGGCCTTGAAGGGCGTGGTTCTGCGGCTGCAAGCAGACCTGTCGTCCACGGGCCTGGATACCCAAGAGGCGCTGCGCACCACCACGCAACTACAGCGACAGCTGTCGTCACAAGAGCAGCACGTGCGCTCGCTCGTCTCAGAGCAGCGTCAACTCGCAGACAAGATGGTGCACCTCTCAGACTGGATGCAACGGTGTGTTTGAAGCTGCGTACGTGTGATTGTTGTGTGTGTGTGCTGTCTGTGAGTGAGTGTGTACATGAGTGAGTGAGTGTGTGTGTGTGTGTGTGCACATGAGTGTGTGTGTGTGTGTGAGTGCGCGCGACGGCTTGTCTGTATCTTCCTTCTGCAGCCTTCGGTTTCCCGAACTTACACTCTCTCCCTCACTCACTTGCTCATACGCGCGAACACATGCACACAATACATATCCGCTCCTCTTCCTCACCCCTTCACCAACCACGCTTGTATCACGTATTGCCACGATACTCGGCAGGGACGTTGCCACCCGCTCCCAGCAGCACAAACCAAACAGCACCAGGAAAGGACAAAGCAGGCGTGGTGGTGGTGGTGGTGGTCGTGAGCATAGCGGAAGCATCGACGACGACGAAGGAGCAGCTGGCAGATACGGGTGGATGCCTCGAAGAAGGCACGACCACGATGATGATCACCACCATCACCGCCACCACCACCAGCAGCGACACGACAGCAACGAGAGCGGCGGCAGTGGGATCGATGATAGCCATCATCATCATAATCATCATCACCCTTACATGCACGCGCGTGCATCTACACAGCCGCGTCTGGGGATGGGGCGAGGGTGGCTGTTGCAACGACCCAGCGACAGCGCCCACGACGACAACGATGACGCAATGAGCCGCTTGAGCATGGATAGCCTGTCAAACCTTTCTGAATCTGTGAGTCCTGGTGTTTCGCAATCGACCATCGACCGCATGCGCGAGTCCTTCCTGCGCAGCCGGCAGCAGCCGGACGAACTGTCCTCTGTTGAACACTCGCATGACGGCAGCTTGCTGAACCACGACAGCACTAACAGTGGCAACAGCAGCAACGCCAACACGAATGGCTATGGCAAGGACAAGATTGCCATGCGCACCACGGGTCACGTCGCCGAACAACAACAGCAGCAGCAGCAGCAGCAGCAGCGTCGCGGTGGAGCATATGGTGATGGCAGCAGGTGGCATGGGTACAGCGGTGGTGCTGGCGTTGGCGGCCCTGGCAGCATGGCACACCCGCCGTATCGACATCACGCCGGCGAGCCTGGGACGGGTGCGCTGGCCACGAAGCACAACAAGCAAACACGTGCAGCGTCGACCAGACACCCGTATCCAAGTGCTACCGACGACAACGCCCATGGTGATGGTGATGGTGGTGGTGATGAGGATCTGAGCCACCTGCGGCGACAGGACATGGTGGGATCACTGTACGAACCCATTGACGAGTCGGTTGAGTTTGCGCACACCTCCAATCGCGCTGGTGATGGTGATGGGGATGGTTTTGGTTTTGGTGGCGGCGATGATGGCATTGGTGTGCAGAACACGAGCACACCAAACGCAAAGCGCAGTCGATTTGCCCCTCGCACCGCACACCCGCCGTTATTACCATCCTCAACCACAGATGCACCGTCAACAACAGCCACAACAGCAACAGCAGCAACAGCAGTGCCTCCGCCATCAACGTTGTCGTCTGCAACGCTTGCAGCAACAGCGAGGGCGAGTGCACGGGAGCTTGCAGCCGCACATGCGCGCGTGGAGAGTGCGCTTGCGTCGTTCACACACCGCCACGATGCAAGCAGCGGCGGTGATGGCGGTGATGGTGGTGATGGTGGTGATGGTGGTGATGAAGGTGATGGTGGTGTGGTGTTGGGCAGCAGCACAATGGCGAACAAAGGCAGTGTTGGTGTTGGTGGCGCCTGGGGTGCAGCGTAGACAGCATCTGTGTGTGTGTGTGTGTGTGTGTGTGTGTGTGTGTGTGTGTGTGTGTGTGTGTGTGTGTGTGTGTGTGTGTGTGTGTAGATCGACACTTGACACTTGAACTTTTCAGTTTTGGGCACGGTATCGTATGCAATGGCGATGTCTTCCTTTCCTTCTTCCTTCTATTCTCCTGGTGATGATGCTCGCTGCTTGCGATGGTGCTTTGCTTTGTTATCCTTTTCATGTACACCGAACAAGCAAGTAAAGAGACAGAGAGCGAGGCACAGAGACAAGGGCGAACAACAGATGCAATGTGCTAACGTATCGCGCGCAGCACACAGGCAACAAGGATGTACAAGCACACCACACAAAACACACGAGGAGTCGCATACACACCAAAGTGAAGACGTACACAAGCACACACACAAAACAAAAAAGTCGCATACAAGAAGTCGCACGCGCATGCACACACACACACACATACACACACGCACGCACACGCATACATACATACACACACGCACGCACAGGGGTTCATTCATTCATGCAAACGGTACATACGTCACAGACGTTAAATAGAACACGGCACAGTGTGGGATGATGTGATGGGAGCGCGAAGCATGCTGTGTTTGAGACGGTGCACGGACACAAAAACGCTTGGTCATTGCACTCGGATGGGAGAGATGGGGGCACGCATGTGTACGCATATGTACGCATGCGAGTGTGTGTATATGCATGTGATGTTGAGACACACGCGTGTGCGTGAGTGCATGCACTTTGAGGTTGCATGTGTGCCCGTGTACGTCTGTTGTTGTCGGAGCGCGTTGCTGCTGTCGAATGCTGCTGAAGAACGGAGGGGCGCGGGATTATGTCGTCTTCTTCTTCTTCTTCTTGCTCGTCTTGTCCTTCATTGTGCTTTGCAGGTGCTGCTGCGATACGTGCTCGCTCGTGTCCAGCGCCTGCGCGTGTGTGTGCGTGCCGCGCGCGCGCGCGTGTGTATGTGCAAAAGTGGGTGTGTTTGGGAGAAATCGCAGGAAGATGCAGAGCATAGACACACACGAACAAGGCGCGCACGCACACACAGCCACACATATACAGACGTACGCACACACACACGCACAGACACACACACACACGCACACACACACACACACACACACACACACACACGTGCTGGGGCACGCACCTCGCCGGACGCCTTGAAGCTGAGGAAGATCTTGACGAGAAGGGCATACCAGTAGAGATGAAGAGCCAGCAGCGCGCACAGCAGGCCAACATACACGCGCAGAGCAGCGGGCGTGGTGTGGAAGTTGTAGTAGGTGAAGATGGCAATCTACCCCGCGATGCGGCAGCAACAGCAGCAAGATCGGTGTGGTTAATCGCGGAGAAGGGGGGGGAAGGGTTTGCGCGGATGGATGTGGAAGGTGCACAGCAGAGGGGGTATGGAGAAGAGAGGAAGGTGAAGATGCGTGTAAGTGCACGTGGATCAAGCACACAAAGCGGCAGCCAGGAGAGGCAGAGACACACAGACACACACACAGACACACACACACAGACACACACACACAGACACACACACACAGACGCACACACACACAGACACACACACACACACAACGCACACACACACCACACCCACCAACACAACAACGAACACTACAAAACACACACCCCAGCCGAGCAAACAAGCAAACAAGCAGAGTGGTCTGCTCCCGTCTTCTAGAAAATAGAGGAGGAAGAAGAGCCACGAGAAGACGGCGACGATGCCGGACGAGTACTTCAAGATCTTGCTGTTAAACTTGTTCGACGCTGGTGGTGTTTGGCGGGAAGAAGAAGCGGGGAATCGGCGTGGAGAAGGTGAGCTTGTTGTTTATGTTATAAGGACGCAAGAGTATGGAGGTTATCACCGCAACAAAGTCGTACGGAAGGCGACCACCCAGATAATCCCTCCGACGCCTTTATTACACCCACATTGTTGACCCCAGAATAATCCCCCCGACGCACACACACACACGACACACACACACACACAAACGCACACACACACACACACACACAAACACACAGACGAACACAACACACACACACACACAGACAAGCAAACAAGCAAACAAGCAAAGTGGTCTGCTCACGTGTCCGAGAAAGTAGAGGCGGAAGATGGGCCAGGAGACGAGGGCGAGGATGCCAGACGCGTACGTGAAGATCTTGCTGTCAAACTTGGTCGACGCTGGTGGTGTTTGGCGGGAAGATGAAGCGGGGAATCGGGGTGGAGAAGGTGAGCTTGGTGTATATGTGACAAGGGCGCAAGAGTGTGAAGGTTCAACACCGCAACAAAGTCGCACGGAAGGCGACCACGCAGATACACACACAGACGCATTAACACACACACATTGACACACGCAGATACACACACAGACGCACGCACATGCAAACACACACACACACACACACACACACACACACACACACACACACACACACACACACACACACACACACACACACACACACACACGCCTCACCTTTTGCCAACGCGATGAAGACATCTGGAACGTTGTGCACAAAGAGGACAAAGCTGCCCATGCAGGTGGCGCCGTGGTAGGCCGACCCCAGGATCAGGGACAGGGTGACCACGTGATGAATGTACATGGCCCGCGTCTCGGGCACGAAGAAGGATGTGATGGTGTTGTGCAGGTGAAATGCGAGGCCACTCTGCAAATGACCACAACATGACGTGAACGTTGAAGATTTAAGAAGGTGGGGTGGGAGCCAGCAGACGTCGTGAGTATGTGTGCCAAGATGCAGATGCAGAAGACAGCGAGGTGAGCTGAGGGTGGAGTGCCGAGGGCGTGGACAAGTGCAATGGCAGCCTGCTCTTGGGCCAAGTGCCTAAATGGGGTTGCTCTCGCGTGAAATTGCGCTTGGGTGGAACAGCCGTCGAAAAAAGGATGACCGCCTGCGCTGAACATACCGCATAGATGGAGTTGACGACATCGTCGTGTTGGTATCCGTCCACGGAGTACTCGCCGCCAAAGAACGGTGGCTTGAAAGGCTGCTTGAACAGGATCAGGTACTCGTTGATGGAGCAGCCGAGGAACCAGAACACTGGACGGGCACAAGGATGTGGCACAATTGGCAGTCAAAAATGACGGTGTCAGGCGAGGTGATGGGTTGTGTGTCAGGAACGATTTCGGATTGGCAAAGGGCGAGAGGAGGGTGCAGAGTGATCAAGGGCAGAACAGAACGCGCACCCCAACAACCATTCCCTGACAGAAACACGTGCACCCGCAACACCCACACCCCCACACAAGTGACTCGCCCCGTGCACTCCCAACCAAAAAGGCCACACGTGCACGCTTGCTCACACACACGCACACATCACGTGCGATGCGATCTCTGCCCACCTTTGAAGAAGTTGATGGCTGCTGGGTATCGATCCTTGTTCCGCTCGACAAAGTAGCGAACAGTCAGCAGCATTGCCAGCAAGATGCCGGTGAGCTGGTAGTCGATGCTCATCATCGTGTCGACGGTTGGCAGGGTGGTGGCGAGGTGGGAAGGAGCGCGCACAACAGGTGAAGCACGCAAGCAAGTTGTCTCGTCAAATGCGATGCCAGCCAGCCAGGCAAAAAGATGGCTGTTGCAGATTATTTACTGAAGTCATTTAGGAAAAGTCGGCAGGTCAGTGAGCACGCCGCAGCAGCGCCGAACACAACAGCCGCAGCGAAACTCACACCCACACACTCATTCTCTCTCTCTTTCGTTCTCTCTGTGTTGTCTCCTTCCCTCTTTCTCACCACCCACACGCACCAACAAACACACGCGTGCTCTCTCGTCATGGGGTGCCAAGAGCGTGTAGCGCCTCAATTTCCTGAAAGGCGAAGCAAGTGTGTGCATGATGGTTTACCATGCCCACGGCTTGCATGAAGGAGAGCACCGTGGTCTCGCCAACAAACTTGAACCCGCGCTTGCGCAAGTTCTTTGTAAACTCAGCCACCGTCACGGTTGGGTGCACACCGTCGCTCTCCTCGCGATCCTGCGCAAGCGACAACAACAACAAAAAAAATTAAATAAGGGAATGAGCTTGTGCAAACAACCAGAAGCTGTTGCTGGCGGGGTATAACATGGAGCTTTGGCCTGCACACCAACGACTGCAGCAGAGGCATTGGTGTTGCATCACATACATTACTTTGACACAATACCGCACACACATTTACACGCGCGTGCACACACTCACTCTGACACTCACTCACTCTCGCACATGTACGAACACTCACTCACTCACGCTGGCACCACACTCTCACTCACTCACACTGACACCACACACACACTCACTCACACTGACACCACACACACACTCACTCACTCACACACACTCACACACTCACTCACTCCCTCCCTCCCTCCCTCCCTCACTCACTCACTCACTCACACACTCACTCACTCACTCACACACTCACACACTCACTCACTCACTCACTCCCTGGCACCACGCACGATCACAAGAACGACATCAACGCACCGCCGCCTTGGTCTTGAAGTCGGTGCGCATATGGGAGCTGAGGAGCTGCCCCGACGCGAGAAGCCGCTCTTTGTCATGTGCTGGTTTGAACCTCCACACGTAGTCGCTGAACGAGCCTTGGTGCGAAACAAATGCGTAAAACATGGGTTGTATGAGCGCGTGATAGCTCTAAGGCAGTCGCTGTTGGTGAGTTGTCACAACCATGCACGCTTGTGTGTGTGTGTGTGTGTGTGTGTGTGTGTGTGTGTGTGTGTTTATGCGTTTGTGTGTGTTTGTGTGTGTATCAGGTTCACATGCGCGACTCCACTTTGAACACACCACACGCAACCACAAACGCATTCACAAAGCACACACAACAACATGTACACATGCACACCTGCGCGCTGCTGCTCCATTTCACGCACGAGCCTGAAGCGCAGCAAGTCGGCAAAGTGGAATGAGACGTAAACGATGCCAAGCACGCGAGACTGCAGCCAAACAACAACAACCAGCAAACAAACAGCGTGGGTGATGTCATGTATGTGCGTGTGTGTTCACAGGAATCAGGCAACTTGCAGCAGCGCCGCTCGCCGGCGTACTTTGCATTGTGTCGAATGGCGTGCACTTTCGCGCGATTGCGGATGATTCGCTCGTCCTCCAACAACTTCGAAATGGCAGCCTGAGAGTGAGACAGAGTGAGAGAGGGAGAGAGAAAGAGAGTGAGAGAGAGCGAGAGACAGAAAGAGAGAGAGCGAGAGGGAGAAAGAGAGAGAGAGAGCGAGAGAGAGAGAGAGAGAGAGACAGACAGACAGACAGACAGACAGACAGAGGGAGAGACAGACAGACAGACAGACAGAGGGAGACACGTGAGACAGTCACACAGACACACGTGAACGGGAAGTTGACAGAGTGTGCTTTGCAGAGACGCAAGTGCAGTTCTAACGCACATGTACATCATGCACATGCACACGCACGTCTGAAAGGGATGCGCAGTGGTGAATATCAAAGTTGAGAAACGCATCCCGTAGCCCTGCTTCTTTGGTGAGCACTGTCCTCCACGTTAACCCACAGGCCATCATCTGTGTACCA